CCCCCTTCACACGAATCCGCGCATAACCGCTTTCATAACCCGGCACGTCATGCCCGCTCTGCCTGTAACCCCCCCACGTTATCCAATGTAACAACCCCCGTACAAACGTGCCAACTGGCCACCTGTGGGGCGAGGGCATCCGACGTTTTGAGGAAGGGAGGTCGACCTCCACCTGTCTGTCTTTGCACTCATTTACAGAAGAAAAGCTTATATGACGCGTACATGTCGATTGTAGCATGGCATGCTTTCAGCTATTTATTGGCCTCTTTGTTGTGTTTTGTTGCCCGTTCTAATCCAATTCAAGATTTTTGGCGCGTCACAACCCGCAAATGTTGGGAACATTGGCCAACAGCATTATTGTGCACCTTTCTTTGTTCACCCTCCTTCAACAGATGACAGTGAGTGGTGAACGGCATCAACCTGCCTGGGGACAGATCACATCCTGCAGAAATATCACATCCGATTCGTACATACGCATACGTCGTGCATCTATCTGTCTGTGCATGCTGCGTATGGTACCTACAGCACAAACCGTCATTCGCACGTATGGATACGTGTCTGTATTGTATACTTACAGCACTAACCGTCCTTCGCACGTACGTATGGATACGTGTCTGTATACCACGCCAGCCGCATGTCAGGGTGGGTCCTACGTAATTTTTGGAAATAATGTCGAACATCGAACATCGAACAAGCGGATAGTTCGATGTTCGACTTTTTGGGTCCATTGAAATTTGCAAAAAAGGGTGAAAAAAATCCCACACACACACTAAACGAACTCGAGAACTAGGTAATAGCCTTGGTAGACGGGTGCAGTTTTCTTCTGTTGCTGCTGTTTCTGTTTTTGATCCGAAGGATAGTTTAGCCTACCCCATGCTGCCCCCTCACGGGGTCCCAGTTCATGGTAGATAGAAGTGTTTTGTGTTTTCAACAGCACTAAGACTGACGTCTGTTGGTATGTCCGTACTTGGGAGGAGAAGACGCGCTTTAACTCTCTCTGATTAGTCTAGGCACCCGCGGGAGCGAGGAAAGGAAGGGAAGAAGTGGCCCTCCCAAATTCGGGGAAGGGGGCCCACACATAGTAGCCTTTTTCAGGCATACGCATGCTCCTGTCTACGTACCCCCCGTGCTGCTTGCAGATCTACCATGCTCGTATCCAGACACACGAACACCCTCCCCGGTTCGTCAAGCTATTGACAAACCATCAGTGGGGCATGGATACTCCAGATCTACTTAAGTTACTCATACAACAACGGGTGCAAGGGAAAACTCGGCCATCCGGATCAAAAACCCTCGCCTACAAACTCAAAA